ATACTAAATCAGGATAATAATAATCTGTTTCTGATAAATTAAAAGTTGCTTTGTTTTATGAAGTCTGACTTGTCAAGAGAAAAAAAAATTTTTTTCCTATGCTTAAAGAAAGCAAACCTCTAAACTGAGAATAATCTAATATTTAAGCAAGGCAAATGCACTAAAATATTATTTTTTGTCTCAGTTCAATAGCTTAGATTACAAAGAGCTTAATTTTTACAATAAGGTGAAATAATTTATTTTGCACTAACTATATATTTGGGCTTCCCAGGTGGCACTAGTGGTCAAGAACCCACATACTAATGCAGGAGACCTAAGAGACATGGGTTCAATCCCTGGGTTGGGAAGATCTCTTGGAGAAGGTCATGGCAACCCACTCCAGTATTCTTGCCTGGAGAATCCCATGGAGAGAGGAGCCTGGCAGCCTACAGTTCATAAGGTCACAAAGAGTTGGACAAAACTGAAGCAACTTAGCATGCATGCAGCTATATATTTAGGTATGTCAACTGCCCATAGCTTGTGAAATAGTAATATCCCCATGAGATAAGAGAAAATGACACGGAAGATGAATGTGTCAGTTATATATTACTTGGATTATATATTTTAAAAGTTATATCCTTTATTTTTTGTTATTGGTAGGTTAGGACAAGATTTTAACTTTAGCCTTCAAGGGATTTAATTTTGAAGATACAAAAAAAGGAAAAGAAAACTATAGGTTTCTGTGAGTATGTATCATTTTGAGAGCTGTCAGACTTCTCTGAAAAGGAAATTAATAATTCATGAAAAATAGAAAACTCTCTCATCCATGGGTGTTTGGTCTCAGAAGTGTAGACTGAGGTGGAAGACCAAAAAGTCTATGGAAATATACAGTTACAGGCAGCCTTCCTGCTGATCTGGTCACTAAACTGCAGCCCTGAAAAAGACAGGTTTCCTTTCTGCCAGTAATAGGAGATTAGGCAAAGAGTTTGTATGATAAATAAAGACATGACATTTAAAAGTGTTTCTACTTGTGGGAAGAAATTTTGCCTCATTAAAGGTTAAGTGCCCCTTAAGACTTGGTATCTCTTAAGTCTGTATATTTTTCTAAACTACAATAGTGGGTTATAAAAATTCTATTGGTTTTATACAACTACCATTTACAACTACCATTTCTTTCATCTCTTTGGCATTCTCATGGTGAAACATTTAAATAATATTTAAAAAATAAGAAAATATCAGTTCAGTTCTGTTCAGTTGTTCAGTCATGTCTGACTGTTTGCAACCCCATGGGCTGTAGCACGCCAGGCTTCCCTGTCTATCACCAACTCCTGGAACTTGCTCAAACACATGTCTATTGAATTAGTGATGCCGTACAACCATCTCATCCTCTGTCATCCCCTTCTCCTCCTGCCTTCAGTCTTTCCCAGCATCACGGTCTTTTCAAATGAGTCTGTTCTTAGCATCAGGTGACCAAAGTATTGGAGCTTCGCTTCAGCTGCAGTCCTTCCAATGAATATTCAGGACTGATCTCCTTTACGATTGACTGGTTTGATCTCCTTGTGGCCCAAGGGACTCCCGAGAGTCTTCTCCAACGCAACAGTTTGAAAACATCAATTCTTCGGTGCTCAGCTTTCTTTATGGTCCAACTCTCACATCCGTACGTGAGTACTGGAAAAACGTCAGCTTTGACTATATGGACATTTGTTGGCAAAGTAATCTCTCTGCTTTTTAATATGCTTTCTTGGTTGGTCATAGCTTTTCTTCCAAGGAGCAAGGGTCTTTTAATTTCATGGCTGCAGTCACCATCTGCCGTGATCTTGGAGCCCAAGAAAATAAAGTATGCTACTGTTTCCATTGTTTCCCCATCTATTTGCCATGAAGTGATGCCATGATCTTAGTTTTCTGGATGTTGAGTTTTAAGCCAGCTTTTTCACTGTCCTCTCTCACTTTTATCAAGAGGTTCTTTAGTTCCTCCTTACTTTCTACCGTAAAGGTGGTGTCATCTGCGTATCTGAGCTTATTAATATTTCTCCCAGCAATCTTGATTCCTGCTTGTGCTTCATTCAACCTGGCATTTCGCATAATGTACTCTGCATATACGTTAAATAAACAGGATGACAGTATACAGACTCCAAAACACATTATACCACCCTGGTATGTTCTGTGCTTAGTAGCCCAGTCATGTCTAACTCTTTGCGGTCCCATGATCTGTAATCTGCCAGGCTCCTCTATCTATGGGGATTCTTCACATAAGAATACTGGAGTGGGTTGTCATGCCTTCCTCCAGGGGGTCTTCCCAACCCAGAGATTGAACCTAGGTCTCCCGCACTGCATGCACATTGTTTACTGATGGAGCCATCGGGGAAACCCAAGAACACTGGAAGGGATAACTTATCCCTTCTCCAGGGGATCTTCCCAATCCAGGAATCGAACTGGGGTCTCCTGCATTGCAGGCGTATTCTTTACCAGCTGAACTACCAGGGGTGGTACGACTCTGGTATAAACCCCAATAATATTTGTAAAAGTTCATATTTCATAGATTGCCTATGAATGCACATGTATACCACATCATATTATCATCTACTTTATGGCTATAATCTATTTTGTAAATTTTAAAGATTTCCATTTCTTTGAACTTTCTCCCAAATTCCTAAGTTAATAATCTCTTTTATTATTATTATTTTTTTTTTCATTTTTATTAGTTGGAGGCTAATTACTTTACAATATTGTAGTAGTTTATGTCATACATTGACATGAATCAGCCATGGATTTACATGTATTCCCCATCCCGATCCCCTCTCCCGCCTCCCTCTCCACCCGATCCCTCTGGGTCTTCCCAGTGCACCAGGCCCGAGCACTTGTCTCATGCACCCAACCTGGGCTGGTGATCTGTTTCACCCTAGATAATATACATGTTTCA